AAGGGTTTAGGGTTTGGGGTTTAGGGTTTAGGGTTTAGGGTTTAGGGTTTATGCCCACCAGCGAAGTCTTGGAAGAATTCATAGTGGAAAATGCCGGCTTTTAGTTCTTTTAGGGAGTAGGGTTTAGGGCGTTGGCCTTGCGGTCTAGTTTAGGTTTAGGGTTTAGGGTTTAGGGTTTAGGGTTTATGGGATGCCTGCAGATTGTACGCGTGGGACTGCACGTCATTGAAAACTTTCTGTCGTGTGAAGACGCTGTTGAAATCATTATCGAGGAGAACGTTGCACAGGTTAGGGTTTAGGGTTTAGGGTTTAGGGTTTGTCGGTGCCGCTTGTTGCTGTTGAAGGAATATAGGCATAAGGGTTTCGAGTTGAGGTTTAGGGTTTAGGGTTTAGGGTTTAGGGTTTGCGTTCAGATCCTGACGCTGCTGGAGTTTGAAAAGTGGCGAGATGCAGACATGTACGAGGAAATAAGAGCCTGCATCTTCGCTTTAGATTTAAAGATCAGACAGTTCAACAACTTCGAGCGTTACTTGCTGGAGTTAGAGAAGGGAAAGCTACGCTGGTCGGTGCTCCATTCCGGTAAGCAGGGTTTAGGGTTTAGGGTTTAGGGTTTAGGGTTTAGGGTTTAGAATATGGGCGTATCTTTACTTTCCTGAAACACGCCCATCCCCTGCTGTAGGGGGGGTTCTTGAGTTTAGGGGTGAATCCGATACGCTTGAAAGAGCCAAGACCAAAGGGTTTAGGGTTTAGGGTTTAGGGTTTAGGGTTTAGGGTTTGTGCTGGATTGGTTTAGAGAAGTTTTGGCGGGAGAATGTGATGGTTTTTGAAAAAGATGAATTCATCACAATTCAAAAAATTGAGCGGCTGCTCGACAGCGATGACCCCGCAACTCAAGCGGTTGCATGCTACGACTTGGGGGAGTTTGCACGTTTGCATCCTGCGGGAAAGAAGTAAGAACTGCAAACCCTAAACCCTAAACCCTAGAGACCTAAACCCTAAAGTTGAAACTGAAAAACCCTCACCTCAGTAACTGATGGGCTGTCTTCTGCCTGTTTTCTGCTTCTTTCTTCTCAGGGTCTGCCAGAAATTCAAAGTAAAGGACAAAGTTATGCTTCTAATCAGCAGCAAACACCGCGAAGTAGCTGCTGAGGCTCTTCTCTGTGTGCAGAAGCTGATGCTGAACAACTGGCAAGACGTGGCGAATCCCCAGCCGAAATAAAGGAGTTTATAGAGCGAAGAAATGCCCCTCGAAGCTTCTTTAGAGAGGGAAATAAAACCTGAGTTGCAATTCATTACTATTCAAAGGTGTTCAACACGAGAATGAATTTCTTGGCGTTGTTCTGATGCTCTACTACGGTTAAGACGCTCTAATAAAATAAAATAAATCGTTCACTTGCAGAAGAAGCAGCCATTTAATTTATGCATGGAATGCTGTTGCATTCATCTTCCGTGCATACACCGCGAGAGCGCCCGGAAACCTGAATATTTATTCTTTTCAAAAAAACTTAAATTCAAAAGCATTCATGAGCATTATGACCTTATTTAGCGTTTTCTTCTTTCCAGTAGATATGGCTAAAATTCATACAGAATAATATCCACACGTTTCACCTGTCAGGAACCCGATATTGAATAGGGGGGAAATGAGGCTAAAACGTCAGCTTTCCCCGGCGATCCTCTGCACTGCCGAGTATAAACCCTAAAACAAATACAAATATGACGTAGATCGGCCCTGTGGAGCCGTGAAATTACAGCTTTCTGCAATTCAGGTGTATAGGCACCTCACCTTCGGCAAAAAGAAACGAACAGGCTGCAGTTTTCCGTTTAGAAAAAGGAAAAGAAAAGTATTCTTTTCCTGCACATCAGGTGTTCCAATGTTGGGAGTTTTTTTCCTTAAATGCATTTTTGTTTTTTTTCTGCTTTTTCCCTTCGTCGCCTCTCGCCAATGTCGCTCATCAAGAAAACATAGGCCAGCGAAACACGACGTAAGAAAACGTCTTAGCCTCTGAAATGCATGAAAATGCAACTTCTTTGACCTCCAGGGGAAAGCAAAAGATGAATCTTCGGTTTGCTTTTCTCCATTAATCCCCCTTGGGGCTGCTGCACAATTAGTAAAATTAATTCTTCTTTTAAATTTCAGTGCGCTCGGCGCCCAACGGCCGATGCTGCGACTAAGGCAAGCTGTTTTTGTTTTTTTCTGATTGTTCTTCTTTCGCATTCTATTTTACCCAGAAGAAAAAACACATAAGCCACTCCTTTCTCTCCCCCCGGGCTGATACGGTAACGCTGATGAAGAAGGGCTTAGGGTTTAGCTTCTCAAACAAAAACAAATCCTATAAACACACAGGGAACTGCAAAACAGACAGCCGAGCGTTTTTGCTTCCTCTCTTCAACAAAAAAGAAACGTCAGAGGGGAGGGACAGAAGAAGTGGAAACGGATGAAGATGATGAGAAGGTAGGGCAGCAAACCAAATACAAAGAAAAAACAAAGAATGCTGAATACTCAATCCTTCTCCAATCTGCATGCACAGGGCCTCTCTCGCTTCCTCTCAGCAGTACCCAGCCGTGGTGCTGGAAGGCTAGCGGCTGCTCCCCCCGTACGTTGTTTTGCAATAGTAGAGGCAGCTGGAGCAGCAAGAGCAGCAGCGGCAGCAGCTGCTGTTCTTGCTGCTTCATCTGCAGCAGAAGCAGCAACAGCTTCTATAGCAGCAGCAGAGCAGTTCTAGATGGGCAGGGCCTGCAGCCACCCTTTCTTTGCCTGAGTTACAGTTGTTGTTTGTCTTAATGATTTTATTTATTCTCTTTAGGGTATTACAAATCAGGAAAGAACAGCAGATGCTGACAGAGAAATAGCAGCAGAGTTGGGGGGAAGGAGAGAACCCCGTCGCCGTCGCGGTAGAGGGGGCCCTGCTGCCTTTGCTGCACCTGCTTTCGGTGTTGCTGAGCCGGAAGAAGCTGCTGCAGCAACAGCAGCAACATTCAATGCTCCAGGGCTTGCTGTTGCTGCTCCTTCTGGAGGAGCATTCAAAGCCCCGGGATTAGCAGTTGCTGCTCCTGCAGCAGCAGAACGCAGAGCACCAGCAGCACGAACCACAGCAGCAGCACGAAGAAGAGGAGCAGCAGCAGCAGCAGCACCCAGGGCAGTGAAAGCCTTCAAAGGCCCCTCCTTTGGGGTTGCGGCTCCTACAGTAGCAGAAGAGGAAGAGACAGGAGCAGCAGTAGCAGAAGCAGCAGCAGCAGCAGCAGCAGAAGCAGCAGCAGCAGCAGCAGCACGCAGAAGGGGGTTTGAAGCACCTATGTTGGGGTTAGCAGCACCTGGTTTTGAGACAGAGATGGGTGGAGGTGCGGAGACACCCGAAGGTGGGCGCGGAAGAGGAGTAAGAAAAAAAAATATTTTTCGCTGCTTTTCTTTGTTTTGCATGCACATATATTGCAGGGAATTATCATCAATGTTGTTACGCGTGAGGGCCCTTCTTGGGTTTTATATTTTATTTAAATATACAAACATACTACAACAATAAAATACAAACAAAAACCTTCTTCCTCCTCTGCCCCAGCTCCAGCCCCCACCCCACGAGTGTCTGCGGTGAGTCGTTATAAGTAAACCCTAAACCCTAAACCCTAAACCCTAATCCTAAGGTGTGGCAGCTAATTATAAATGCCTTTATACATCCTCGTTTGCAAGCGCACTGGGCTTTAGTTCAGTCATCCGCTTCTGTATTCCTAAACCCTAGACCCTAAACCCTAAACCCTAAACCCTAAACCCTAGACTGAGCTTCTCCTCCCTTCAGCCTCTCTCTGCTGCTGCCGCTGGCGCATCGAAGCCACCGTCTGTACCGCCTCCTCATGTGGGGCCCGAAAGCAGACACGGAGTGCTGCCAGGAGAGTTTGAAGAAGAAAAAGAGAGACAAATGCAAGAGAGAGAAAGGCAGCTGCAGCAGCTCCAGCAACAACTCCTCCAGCAGCAGCAGCAGCAGCAAGAGCAGATGCAGATGCAGCAGCAAATGCAGCCACCCATGGGGCAACCGCAACCAGAGGTTAGCGATCTTTTTCAACGCTAGTACAAACCCTAAACCCTAAACCCTAAACCCTTAAGGTGGAGCTCCGCCCCGTCTTGGAGGCCATTCAAAAGCTTGATGAGCGAATAGCAGAGCTGCATAATCTGGCGCAGCAGCAGCAGCAGCTGCAGCAGGAGCAACATCAAATGCAGCAGCAACAGCAGCAGCAGCTACTGCAGCACCAGGAACAGATAGCGGAAGCCCTCAAGCAGCAGCAGCAGCAGCAGCAGCAACAGCAGCAACCACAAGAAACCCCTCCATTTCCATCTCCAGCAGCACCAGAAGCAGCAGCAGCACCCGAAGCAGCAGCAGCAGCACCAGCGCCTTCAGCAGCAGCAACAACAGAAGCAGTTCCTTCAGCGGAGGCCGCAGCAGCGCCAGCAGCAGCAGAAACAGCAGCGGCTCCAGCAGCAGCTGCAGCAGCGCCAGCAGCAACGGGCCCCCCGATAAGTATTGAGAATTATAACTGCGGAGGTAAGAGATGCCTAAATATACAAAACAAAATAAAGCAAAATAACAATAAAAATAAATACAGGCTGCTGCGAAGATGAAGAGGGCTCATCAAGTGAAGAGGCATGGGACAGAATCAAAAGCGTCTCAGAACTACTAGAAAGAAGAGAACAAACCCTAAACCCTAAACCCTAAACCCTAGATCCCAAACCCTAAATCCTAAACCCTATACCCTAAACCCTATACCCTAAACTCAACTGGAGGTTTCAGCCGTACCGCTCTCACGTGACCTTGTAAGCCTGAGGCTGTCTTGAGCAGCTAGATAGCCGTTGAACCGCTAGCTAGCTAGCTAGCTAGCTATCTATCTGCCTAGCTGCTCAGCTAGCTGGGAAGCAGATAGCCGCTGTACAGCATCTCCCAGCTAGTTATCTATCTGCATAGCTAGCTAGCGACGCAGCTAGCTAGCTAGGTGTGCAACTAACAGATACTCCCTATCTATTTAGCTAGCCCGCGATCTCATTATCTAGCTAGCTAGCTAGCTAGCGAAGTGGTTAGCTCTCAGAGGAAGAAGAGCTGATAGTTGAATTCTATGTACAGCAGCACTTGCGGCAGCAGCTCGAGTGATGCGACAACTGCAGTTGCTGCTCCAGCTGCTGCTGCTGCTGCTGCAGCTGCGTTAGCTGTGCGTACACTCGAAATGCAGGCAAACGCAAGATGAATATCAACATATAAATGCAACTATGTCTCACTTGCTGCTCTTCAGCTGCCCTTCTTATTGCTGCTGCTACTGCTGCTGCTGCTGCTGCTACTACTACTACTACTACTACTACTACTACTACTACTACTGCTGGTTGTGATGTCTGCTACCTGCTGCTGCTGCCCGCTATAGTGCTAGAGAAGAGAGACCCCGAAATGCAATATCTTGCCTTCCTTCCGGTAGCTGCTGTTTTAGGTTTGCTGCAGCAGCAGTTGCTGCTGCTGCTGCTGCTGCTGCTGCAGCAGGGAAAGTGTTTGTACACCCCGCAGCACCGCATGCATGCGAGCGCAACTCTATCTCACTGTTTGTTTATTTATTTATTTTACTTCGTTTGATTATATATATAAATATATATATATATTATATCGAATTGCATCAGCAGCTCAAGAAATAAATAACCAGGACCCTCCGGAGCACCCAAGTGAAGAAGAAATACAAAAATGCACAACCAGCATGCATACTTCAGTGCAATGCATGCATGCATAACTGCATGCATGCATAACTGCATGCATGCGTAACTGCATGCATGCACTCGTATCGATATTGATGCATGCATGCATGCATGCATGCATGCATGCATCGATACTACTGTATGCATGCATGCATGCATGCATGCATCAGCCTTCATGCATGCATCAGCCTTCATGCGTGCATCAGCCTTCATGCATGCATTAATATCGATGCATGTATTAATATAGATGCATGTATGCATGCATAGGGTATATAGATAGACATTTTATATATAAATATATAAATTAGACAAACAGAAAATAAATATATTTATATATTTATGAGATGCATGCATGCATGTTTGGGGTCCTGTTATGCAGCGGCAGTTGTATATGATGATGGATATGTATAATAATAGTAGTATGTAGCTGTATTTCTTTGTTTTTTCTTCTGAATGAAGAAACAACAACGCCTTGCAGCAGCAGCAGCAGCAGCAGCAGCATCAGCTGTCTGAGCCTCAGCCGCAGCAGCCACTACAGCAGCCAGCCTCCTCCTCCTCCTCCTCCGCAGCAACAGCAGCAGCAGGAGCAGCAGCAGCAGCAGCAGGAGCAGCAGCAGCAGGAAACTTACTGCAGCCCTGCATTTTCCTCTGCTTCATTGCATGCATCACGCAGCAAACTTCTTACGTATGTTGCAAATACTGGGGCTGCCTTCTGACCTAGCGCTTCAATCATAGGTTTAACTTTATCAACTACCTTTGTAAGAAGGGGTGCAGCTAAATCTGTTAGAGGGCCTAAGTGCTGCTTCAGCTTATCCCAGAACTGAGCGCGATTCAAAGCACGCAACTCCTGCTGCTGCTGTTGCTGCTGCTGTTGCTGCTGCTGCTGCTGCTGCTTCAGCTCGCTGAAAGAGAAATCCTCAAGACCATCAACTGCAAATCAACAACAAACAAAAACAAAAACAAAACTCTTCAATACAACAACAATAATAATAATGCATGCTATGCATGCATTATACTACTCCCAGCTAGCTGTATATACAGCTGCATGCGCAGCATCAGCTAGCTGTATATGTTATGCAACCACCTAGCAGCACTCCTATCTACAGCTAGCTACATCTACATCCCTCCAGCAGCAGCAGCAGCAGCAGCAGCAGCAGCATATACAGCTATCTAAATATGCATTGCATTGATATATCCCCATCGTGAGAGAGATGAGCAGCAGACTCTACTACTACTATTGGTGTTGCTGCTGCTACTGCAGCAGCAGCATCACTGCTGCTGCTGGTGCGCGTGCTGCTGTTGCTGCAGCAGCAGCAGCAGCTGCTGCTGCTGCTGCAACAACGGGTGGTGATACTTACCGCCTGACTCTCCTTCATCTTCTTGATGCTTAGAAAGCTCTTCTACTATTCGCGTGCATTCATCTTGCAGCTGAGGCCTTATTGAAGCTGCTGTTGCTTTCAAGAGAGCACCTACAGCTGGCTGCAGCACTTTCGCTAGCTCGCGCTGCACTTGGCGGTTGCCGCCGCTGCTGCTGCTGCCGCTGTTGCTGTTATTAGGATCTGCATCACGTACTGAGACCCAATACAAACAAAACAAAGAAAGAATAATTTATTATTCACAAGAAATTAAATTTTATATAATAATATGAGCAGCCAGCTGCGCATGCATGCACATCTACGTTAAGCAACAAACAAAGCAGCAAATAAACAAACAAACAAAAAAAAGATAAGAAAAAACAAATAAGAGAAGTAAAGCTTTATTTAACCCTAAACCCTAAACCCTAAACCACAGGCCCTTAGAGAAGGACCGGCAGAGAGCAGCTAACAACAGGGCAACTCGGAAATAGATCCATATGCGCAAAACCCTAAACCCTAAACCCTAAACCCTAAACCCTAATACTGACAGGCGAGCTCGATTGTTTGTAAAGCCTCTGCTTCAGCCTTCATCTCAGCCATAGACGTTGAAAGCAGCGCATCAGGGGGCGTGGCGGTGTTCACCTTAATAGCTGCAACACAAACCCTAAACCCTAAACCCTAAACCCTAAACCCTAAATATTAGATCTTAGATCTTACGCTATCCACTGAAAGTCTGATATGCGTAAACAGTCAGCGCATAAGGGTTTAGCCCCAGGTCGGAGACCATGCTAGAGCAGCAGAACCCTAAACCCTAAACCCTAAACCCTTAACGCTAAACCCTTCACCTCACCGTCAGCAGATGATTGAAAAAAGAACAGAAAGGCCGAAGCCACAACTGGGGCTTGGGCGATCCTCATTGTGTTGGACCTGGGGGGAAAGTCAAAGGGTTTAGGGTTTAGGGTTTAGGGTTTAGAGTGAGGAAGTAAGGGTTTGCAGGGGTAATAAGGAGTATAAAGGAGCTATGAAAGGCAGAACAACAACTGAAAATCGCATAAGCAAATGAAGAAGAAGCATTTGACTTCAAACAAAATGCAAAAGCTGCTACCAGCCGCTAGATCGCTTGCTGTTCATCACGGGCTTGGTAGAGAGAGAGGTCTAGGCTTGCTTTATTATTATTTAGAGATATATACGCAGCTATTCAGGAAGAACAGAGTATTAATAAATATGAAAATTAAGCTATTTTAATTTGTTTTGTATTATTGTTTTACTTTAAATTATTTAATTCTCGTTTATACACACATTTATGTATAAAACGCTCGCCTAGACCGCTTCTATGAAGCAGCAGAGCAGCGCTAGCAACCTCTGTAGAGTAATATGTGCCGTTATTGGCTGTTTTTCCTTTGAAAATTTAATTTGTATTTAATTTCATTTATTATTATGTCTTTTAATTTGTGTTTAATTGGTGAAAGCAAAACATTTCGCCGCTAAGGTGTATATGCAGCTCACTGAAGACCATTGGTTCTTCTATGGGTGAAGCACCCTTATTTTTTGCTTTCTTTCTGAATTTCGAAGGCTTTTTTCAATTTTAAATTCAGAAATATATATTTTATTGCCTTAATCAGATATGTTTTACCCTAGTAGCGAAGAAAAGCAAAGAAAATACCTCAGCATCTCGCTAAGCTGCACATACACCTGAACACTCGATGCACGTTGTGTGGTTCTCAGTTGCTTTTTAATTAATTTGAATTAAATTTAAAATATTTACAATTAAATCATTAATTTTATTTGTTTTAATGCAATTATTTCTAAAAATTAAGAATTTCAATGCATATGGTTCTGTCGAGCTGCCTATACACCTCAGCTCTATCGAGGGCTTGGCGTTTATAAAAAATAATTAAAAATTAATTTCTTTTTTATTCCTAATAAATATAATTTATTTTGTTTATGTTATTTCAATATATATATTTCATTTGTTTTGTTTGCTTTAAATTTATTTATTTATTTGCTACTCTTTCTATAGACTGTATCGAGGGCAACACAGTAAGAACAGCAGCTCTAACTCTGCATTATATTTGTCTGTGTCCTCAGTCTATCAAATATATACTGTCATATATATATATATATATGTAGACATATATAAACATATACATATACATATATATATAGATCTGCTGTATAAAACTAAATACATATATTAAATTTTTATTGTTTATTCTCCGTTTTATACCGTCCTCTGCTCCAAGTCTATTATATATATATGTGTACATATATATATATAACAAAAACTTCTATATAAAAATAAATATTTTAATTACTTTTTATTGCGTTTAAACTTCAATCAAAGACATTTCTTCACTTTGGGGTTTGTAATTTTGTCAGAAGAAAAAACAAACAAAATAATAAACAAACAAACGAACAAATAAATAAATAAATAAATAAATAAATAAATAAATAAATAAATAAATAAATAAATAAATAAATAGTTAAATAATTGAACAAATAAAAACAAACAAATAAACAGACAAAAATACATTAAGCTGTTATAATCAGCTTCTCATAAAACGGCTTCTGCCTATTGGCAGCCGCAGCAGCAGCAGCAGCAACTGCAGCAGCTTCTGCTGCTGCTGCTCCACCAACTGCAGCAACTGCAGCAGCTTCTGCTGCTGCTGCTCCACCAACTGCAGCAGCAGCAGCAGCTGCTGCTGCTGCTGCTGCAGAAGGAAATGCTGCATATACTGCTCGTCTGTGAGATCACAAATCACAGCAGTAACCAATTATCTAAACCCTAAACCCTAAACCCTAAACCCTAAACCCTTATTCCTAAACTATTTTAGCTCAGGGCCTGCAGGATTTGCTGCTGCGCGGTGTGCGGCTCTGCGGGGTCGATGAGAAGCAGCCTGAACATACACACACAAACCCTAAACCCTAAACCCTAAACCCTAAAAGCCCTAAACCCTAAACCCTAAACCCTAGATATCTTGTGGCTATGCTAAACCTAGCCGCACCTGAAGTTATTCGTTTTTGCTGTTTCTGCAAGCCTATTTAAGGTGTATGTACACCGCAAATCAGCAGCAAGAGAAGGCAGTTGTTGCTGCTGCCCTCCACATGCAGCCATCATCAATTGCTGCTGCTGCTGCTTCCCGTGCTGCTGCTGCTGCTGCTGCTTCCCGTGCTGCTGCTGCTGCTGCTGCTGCGATTCAAATACAAGAGGAGCTAAGGGTGGAGCGGCAACTAAATCTGCAAGCAAATGTGCTGCCGCTGCATGCGTTGCTGCTGCTGCTTCTTCTGCTGCTGCTGCTTCTGCTGCTGCTGCTCCTACTCCTGGAGCTGCCAGAGCAACGACTAGGCCTCTTGAGGGCAACAAGACAGCAGCGCCGACATCCTGCAGCAACAGCAGCAGCAACCGCAGCAGAAGGAGCAGCAGCAGCAACAGCAGCAGCAGGTGCAGCAGAAGCAACAAGCATCAAAACAGGACAGGAAGGAACGTAAGCATCAAACCCTAAACCCTAAACCCTAAACCCTAAACCCTAAACCCTCACTGGAATAGGGATTATTTGTCTCACCCCAAATGGCTGCATCCCTTGCAAGAAGCCAGGTGCAGCAGAAGCAGCAGCAGCAACAGCAGCAGCTTGCTGCAGCAGCTGCAGCAGGGGCGCCTGGGCAGCTGCCCATGCGACTGTCTGCATGGCTTTGCCGCTGCTGCTGCTGTTGCTGCTGTTGCTGCTGCTGCTGCTGCTGTTGCTGCTGCTGCAGCTGCTGTTCCTGGCGTGCTGCTGCTCCTCCACAAGGCGCTGCAGAGCAGCAGCAGCAGCAGGGAAGCTCCTTGCTAGAGTATTGTAAACCCCCTTCAATGCGCCAGTCTGTGCACACAAACCCTAAACCCTAAACCCTAAACCCTAAACCCTAAACCCTAAACCCTAAACCCTAAACCCTCAAACCCTAAACCCTAAACCCTAAACCCTAAACCCTAAACCCTAAACCCTAAACCCTAAACCCTAATACCTTAAACCCTAAACCCTAAACCCTAAACCATAAACCATAAAAAGATCGGAAGAGCGTCGTGTAGGGAAAGAGTGTAGATCTCGGTGGTCGCCGTATCATTAAAATAACCCTAAAGAACCCTAAACCCTAAACCCTAAACCCTAAACCCTAAACCCTAAACCCTAAACCCTAAACCCTAATACCTTAAACCCTAAACCCTAAACCCTAAACCATAAACCATAAAAGGGCATCGAACGGTTCCTGAAACGCTCTAATGCACGCATATGCCCTCAACCCTCTACCCTACCCCTAACCCCTAAACCCTAACCCTAAACCCTAAACCCTAAACCCTAAACCCTAGCGCACCTGCAACATCATCCAAGTTGTTGCGAGACGAAATGCAGTGGCCGGTTGATATACCGCAGATGGCAGCGAAATGCGCGCCCAGCTCTCCAGTCTGCACGCAAACCCTAAACCCTAAACCCTAAACCCTAAACCCTAAACCCTAAACCCTAAACCCTAAACTGTAGGCCCTAAACCCTCAACTGTAGGCACTAAACCCTAAAGCCTAGCCACTAAACCCTACGCACTAAACCCTAAACCCTAAACCCTAAACCCGAGGCACTGAACCCTAAACCCTAAACCCTAAACCCTAAACCCTAAACTCTAAGCAGGTACAGTAAACGCATTCGAATCATCTGGGGATGCGGTGATGGCGTTTCTCCGGTGTAAAGGGTTTAGGGTTTGTGGTTGAGGGTTTAGGGTTTAGGGTTTGCGATTGCGGGATTAGGGTTTAGGGTTTAGGGTTTGATATACCGTTCAAATAGAGGGCTGAGTAAGGTGATGTCAGTACACCGCAGCGCCACCAGACTCCACAGCAATGAACCAACCTGCAGCAGCAGCAGCAGCAGCAGCAGCAACAGCACGCATGCAGCAGCAGAAGCACCGCACACAAGGGCAACAGCAGCAGAAGCAGCAGCAGCAGCAGAAGCAGCATTACCTGTATGGGGTCTGCTGCAGCAGCTTCGCGCTGCAGTTGTATGTACACCGCGCGTCTTATGACCTGGTGAACAGCAGCTGCAGCACCAGCAGTTTCTGCTGCTGCTGCTGCTTTGCTGCTGCTTCCTGCGGCTTCGTTTGCTGTATGCGGCTGGGCGCAACCTGGCAGCAAAGACGCTACGTGCTGCTGCTGTTGCAGCAGCTGCTGCTGGAGTTGCTGCTGCTGCTCCGCTGATGGGTCCTCAGCGAGCGCTGCAGCAGCAGCAGCAGCAGCAGCAGCAGGCTGCAGCGGCTGCAGCAGATCGAGGCGAGCAAGCGCAGCAAGACAGCTAACGAAAGCAGCAAAAGGCATCTGCTGCAGCAGCTGCAGCAGCAAACTAAACTTACAGCAGAATGCTGCTTCCCCTGAAGGTCCCCACCCCCGTCTGAGAGACACCCAAACAGCAGCAGGT